AAACTAGAGCTCTGGGTTTCCTTGCAGGCTGGCCAGTAGTGCTTGTGGAGGTAATGAGGCCTCTTGTGTGTCCTCTCTGATCTGAGAGCTGAATAATTTCCCATGTGGTGCAGCCATTTGCAGCTTCCGCTTTTACTCGCAATCCGGCAGGTGGGGTGGAGGGTGGGGAAACCTTCCTCCTCTGCCGCCAACGTGTTGCTATTGTCAATCATCCCTATCCCAACCAAATGGAAGGGGGATACTTTTAAATATTTTTTTTTTTTTTACATATTAAATTTGAATTCAATATAAACTTGAATATTTTTATTTAGTTTGAAATGTATTCAGTAATCTGTCAATGTTGTGTTTCTACTGCCACTTCTTTGTCCGACACTGCTGATGCTTTTCACTTGTCAGAGGGATACTGGGAGTTAATAAATGGTCTACTTCAGCAGCTCCAGACACACGTGCTGGGTTGCAGATCTCCGTTTCAATGTGTCTTTTGTCTGAGGGCTGGTGTTTCAACATCCTCGACTTGAATAGAAGAAGGTCAGCCTGGTGGGGTCTGCCTGGGGGCCCCATTGGGATGGGGGTGACTTGGAAGGAGGGGTTGGGAGGGAAAAGAAAAACCTTCCCTCCCTTTAAGTTTTCTAAAAAACCAATTGGAAGTTTTAAGTTTCTTCAGTTAACGTTTTATCTTGTCATTACAGTCAAGCGCAATGACCGAAAAGATGGGATCAAACCACCAGGTGCAGCAATGTCCCGCCAAACAAATAACATTGCAATCAATTCCTGACAGAAATCTGTTGATGTTTTTGATAACCTCTTCAAAGCTGCACAGAACAAACATGGAAATCTGCAGCATCAGCAGTATATCAGACCACTGAATGATTGTGGATTTCCTAGTTATAAACTAGAAATTCTGCTGGAACTGAAAATGTTATGTTTTGCATTAAACTTCTATGGGTTTTTCTCTAGCAAGTTAAAGCCATGTAGTATCTCTGTTGAGATGTATACAGTACATTTAACTGGTCGTTTTATCAGATTTTGATAACTGTGGCTTTAAGCAAATTAAAGTGTCAATTTTTCTATTTTAAGTACATGTGAGATTGCCATGCTTTGCAATGAGGGTAAGCCACCGAAATGACTTTAAAAAGGGGGCATGAAATTCATAGGATGCTAATTGAAAATCGAGTGGAAGAAAAAAGTGTAGGAGCAAAAGGCACACCAGATACAAGAAGGATATGCAACAAATGGTTTCTGCTAAAGCACCTGGCCCTCACCAAATTTAAATTCCTATATGTCCAGTCTGAAGTTTCCACAGTCAGTGATCATGTCTGTAGCTGTTGGGTATCTTATCAAATCTGGGCAGAGATCTATCAGTAACTATTAAAACACCTCCTGCCTCCCTTAGCTTAAAAGCTTCATGGACATTTCCTTTTTTAGGAAGCCTGAGCACCTGTCGGAACTGCCAACAAGAATAATATACCTGTATAAATGGCCTTAAACTCACTGGGTCTGACTGACTTGCAAACTCTATTTAACTAAACACCATAGACAATTGGGCATTCTCAAGAGCCCAGAGCCAACAATACAAATATCAGCAGAGTCATAAGCCAACCATGATGCAGCAGCTCCTGGAACCTTAAGAATTGAGAGCATATATTGTAGCCATGTATTCCTTTTAGCTGGCTATGAGTTCTATATCAAATGTAGAAGTTAATGGCTGGCTAGCTGAAGTGGTAAGTCACCATTTCTGCAAACAGGAAGCCTGGGCTCATATCCCAGCTGGGGGGAATGGGGTGCCAGTGTGGGTCCTTAGGCAAGACCCTTCACGCTAATGCCTGCTTTGGGGGGTGGCGGCCTAGTGGTTAGGGTATTGTGCTGATGAATCCTGAGTTTTTGAGTTCAAGCCCGACTCCCACATCCATCCATCCATTATCTGACACGCTTGTCCCGAGTGGGGCCACGGGGGGTGCTGGTGCCTATCTCCAGCAGTCAATGGGCGAGAGGCGGGGTACACCCTGGACAGGTGGGATGAGGCCGGAGTACCCGGAGAGAACCCACGCATGCTCAGGGAGAACATGCAAACTCCATGCGAAAGACTCCAGGCCACTGAACAGCCCAGAGACCCTTAACCCCACACTGCTCCCTGGGCACCCCACGATGGCAGCCCACTGCTCCCCAAGGTTAAATGCAGAGAGTTGCTCTGTACTTGTGTAATGACAATAAAACGCTGGAAAAAAAGGTAGTTTTGAATATTCTATTCCATTATGGTCGTGTGCTTTTAGTCTTCCCTTCCACTTAACTTTCCATTGATATGCTTAAAAATAAAATTATGTGAACAGCCACAATCCTAAGAGATAATATTCTTGTTGCACGCCCTCCTTTTAGAGAGTGTTCCTGCAGCACTTTAAAGTTAGCAGTCTTATCTGCGATTGTATAGGCCATAACACAACTATAACAGCACATTTGATTACTAATAATCCTTGTTTTTATTGGTGTGATTACACTTTAAGAAAAAGAAAAACTTTAAAATGTGGCTTAAAATAGTCATTAAAGCATGTATCATTGATGAAAATTTCAGTAAAAAAGAAAAAAAAAAATCAAACAACCAACCCACATACACTCCCACATTCCAGGAGTACGAACTTTTAACAGCATAATAATAAGCAACAGGAAGAAGTCTCTTGTAGCAAAAGCAGAGGAGAAACCCAAAGTATGGTCTGTCTGTATGCCTGCCTGCTAGCAGCCCCCAAAAGTGGGACTTTTTGGAACAGGAGTCAAGTGTAGGTTGCAAGACAAAAAAAATACACAATCACTCCCTCTCGTCACTGACAATAGTTTAGGAAGTGGAGCAGGGAGCGCTGTCTTTTTTGGGGGCTTCCTGGACGGATGTACAGTGGATATAAAAGTCCACACATCCCTGGGCAAAATAAACATAAAAGTCACAAAAAGTTGCAACATAAGCCAATGCTTTGTTGAGACACTTTTTATTAAAATTTCAAATTTTTTGGTGGAGGAATATTTATCTTCACCTCTCTTAGCGCACATTGACAGTTTAGTCTAAACTTGCTGGTATTTTGAATCGCTGGAATTCTATCAGTGTTAGCAGAAAATAGTTTCATCTGTAGAAAGCTAACCACAGACCATGATGTTGCCACCACCATGTTTCACAGTGGGTGTAGTTTAGTGTTTTGAACTGTGGCCAAAAATTAAACTTTGGTTTCACCATATAATAACATATTCCTCACAAGACATGAATAGTTTACATCAGCTCTATAATCTAACAATATAGATACTAAGAGAATTCTCACCTGAACAACATAGCCAGAAATTATTGCCTTTAGTGTTATTTGCCTCCATGAGTTTCCATTTGATCAATAATTCAGAGAAATCAAATGGCATCACTGTTTCTCCACGTGTTTGTTTTTAACAATTGTCATGATTGATAACTTTAACAGTTATCCTGATTCATACTTTTGAACAAGATTATTTTGAGGTTTTTTTTGTTATTAAATCCCATCAAAATTATTGAAGGAAAGTCTTATTTTATTTTATATTGATCAGATTACATATACAGCTGATATAAATGATCTTCTTAAGAACACTTACCGTAATACTGGAAAGTAATAGGTAAAGATTGTAATACACCCTTGGAACCACATTTTATGGCAGCGTCTTAATCATTATTTGTTATATTTATCCCCTATTTGTTTTGTTTTTTTGTTATATTCCCTCTGTGTATGAGAGGACTAACCCCTTAACCTTTTATAGGGCAATCGGTGAAAATATATAAATTTTAAGCTAATAGTGTTATTGCAATTCAGGATAAGACTGTATCACCTTTGGAACGTTAAAAAAATATGGATATTTTGATGGCAAGAATGAATATCAATAACAAGAAACGCCAACTTAGACATTTAGACATTTAGACAGATTTTTTTGTCATTTTGTTAACACAAGTGTAAAACAAAAAGAAATTTCGTTTGGAACAGCTAACTGGAAAATTTCATCTTTTTAAAACTTTTGAATATATAACTTGCCCGGATATATTAAGAAAAGTAACAAAAACGCATCTGTAAGAAATTCAAGAATTTTTTTTTTTTTTTTGGTACAGCATAACCTTAGAGGCATTAATGCTGGTACTGGCACTTAGATTTTTTAGTTTATAAACCTATATATATATATTTTAACCAGGCTTATTCATTTTTTTACTTTTCAATTAACTTTTTTACAGATTTTTCTTACTTTTTTTAACTTAATTTACAGTAGGTAATATATCATTATTATCAAAATAAGATGTACAGCAATATAGCAGTATCTTTGCTGAATGGTTGTATATAGATCTTGTGCTTCTAGACCTATGCAAGTGTTCAAGTAACTTGCCCTATAAAGGGTTAAAAATGCCCTCAAATTCAGAGAGATGGGTTTCTTTTTTAAAATATTTATTTATTAACTCCTAAACAATTAAATCCCATCACGTCCCAGCACGCAAGACAACCAGAGCCGCTTTGTGTTTACCAGATCACACGTGTTTCTGTTATCAAAGTTCAGAAGCGCTCATACAAACATGACATCCACAGAGTGATCTGCACTGCAGTGACCGTCTCCACTGTTGCGGCTTGCATCCCCGCAGCCATGTGCTTTGAGATACATCAGGAGCTTAAATGTAACTTAAAAAAAATCTATAAAACACGGAAACATACACAATCTTGGGTTTGCATACAGAGCAAAACGTGCGCACGCTGTAACAATGTAACCTCCGGAGAGATTACGGAGATCAAGGCGCGCATCTAAAAGCGCAATCCCAGCCTGGAAGTAAATAGTAAGAACAGCTAATGAGAAAGCAATCAGCCGCTCATTCTAACAGACTCAGCTCAGAGCCAGTTGAAAGCGGCCACATTATTAAAGAAACAATCTGAGCCAAACTGGAAACGCACACGGATTAAAGGCAACAAACAATGATACATAAATAAATAGCCTTCCTTTTGCAAGGCGTTAAGTTTGCAGCCACTCACCGGGGTGCGATCGGGCGCAGAAAGTCCTTGGTAATAATTCTCGTGTCGTTTCAGAAATCTTCCGTTCCTTTACGCGCTCTCATACACACATACGGCCGCTGAGAATGGGACTGAGTAACTGAATAGACTCAGAGAGAGCTCAGTAAGTTGAAGTGTCAAATTACATCGGCTATTCTATTACCGAAGGGACCCGGAGCTCGGGTGGCTGCCGACAAAATGCGTGGCGGATTCCTTGTTCTTACGCGCGGATATGGAACCAAAGGGAGGAGTTATTTACCGAGCAGATGTCCAAGGTGTTGGAGCCTTTTAATGGAAAACTAAGTGGAAGGAAAAAAATATCAGTACAAAGGCACAAAGTGTCAAGAATAACCACACCATAAAGGGGATTAAGGGGGAAACTTTATTGGCACTACCACCAGTGGCGGTTCTAGACTAAATCTTCCAGGGGGCCAGGAGGGGGGCCAGTGTGCTTTCATGGGGGCACGGAAAAGCATGAAGCAAAAAAAACTGACATGGGATTAAATTTTATTAAGAGAGCTGCATGAAGTTAAATTCCGATCCAATTAGGTGTAATTAAAATTATATGTATAAATATTAATATAAAATAGAAATTCTTTTGCTTGAAAATGTTCTTTTGGATTGTCGTTAAAATCAAAATAAAAATCCCTTAGCATAGCGAAAAAGAAAATAAAAAATTGTAGGTATTTAAATATCTAAAAGATCGAATAAAGCTATTATTTTGAATAGTAGGACAATATACATTCATTCATTCATTTAGAATTTAACATATTTTTTTACTTTAAGTTAAAATTATGGTTTCCTATAAAAACAGAATTAGAACTCGAGAAAAACTGATAAATTCAGCTGTTTTTTAAAATTTGTTTTGGAATAAAATATTCAGCAGATGAAAACTGGGATATTAAAAAATAAATAAAATATATATATATAGTAAAACAGAATTTGTTAAAGAAAAAAATGAACCATGTCTCTTCCAGCGCATATAATTAGAATTTTATTAGAGTATTATGTCTTCGGTGCAGGGGCCAGGACATGATCTACAGGGGCACTGGCCCCCGTTGGCTCCAGTCTAGAACTGCCGATGACTACCACTGAAATCATTGTTTTAACCCTTTAAAGCTAAATGCATCATATTTGCATCATAGGTCTGATATTTCTATTCTTTAAACCTCTACTTAAACAATCTGAAACATGAAGTGAACAGAAAGCCTATAAAAGATTATACAGAAATAATTAATATATTAAAATTGATGGAAATAAATTATCCAACCTAGCTTATACAAAATGTGTGGTTTGATTCCATTTATCAGAAAGTTCAATGACAATTATAATAATATATATATATATATATATTTTTTTTTTTCTTTCAATTATTTTATGGTCCAGACTTTAAAGGATTAAGGGTCACCGCACTTAGATGTAAACTGGACGTAAACAACCAGTTAATTCCTTGTAAAAAAGTCACTAGGGAAGCAAAGACAACAAGGACTGAGTGTTGACCAATAAAACATCTTATTAACAAAGAAACACATTCTTACTGGATTATATTTTCCAGCAGTTAGTGATACCCTCTTAGGAAGCCCAGGATACTTTAAAATCAGCATAGCTGCAGCACTGGCTTGGGTGCATTTTGTCCTCCTCTTAATAATCAGCCTGAAAATATTATTTGAGTTTAAGTAGAGCAGGTTTGCTGAAAGATCAACTGCTGTTGAAAATAAAATGATCACCCCCCTATAGCTTTTTACCATTAAAAGCTCTGATGTGTACTTGTGGACCACTCTGAAAACCTTAATTTTCAAATGGAATGCAAAATTGATTTTCATGAGATGTTAGAATGTTGGACCATGAGCAACAGCGTAGCCCTTTTCCTCCATACCCCATCATTCTGATGTAGCCTCTGGTTCAGGAAAGGCTTAACAGTTTTAGCCCATATCATGTCTGTCTGGCGGCTCTTGAAGCTGTGACTACAACTGTAGCCCACACCTGGTTTATCTCCTACAAACTCTTAAGGGGCTTTACTTCACAATGTTCTCATAGCTGTATTTATCCGTACTAGATGCACATTTTCCATTGCAGTATTTTTTTTTCTATCAAAATACTGGAACAGCCTTCTTCTTTAGCAATAACTTCTGGACTTACCTTCCACAGCGTGTCAGTGACTCTGCCTGGAAACTGTTATGTCAGCATTCTTTCATATGATTATCCATTTTTGGTGACATAGATAGTTTACTATGATAAGAATTTAAAACTTTTCTCTAGCTATAGCGAAAAAGATTTAAAAGAATAACACTTTGACTCTCCCATCCTCAAACTCCACCAGCTTTTGTGATGTCACATAAGTTTCCTAATATAAAAACTTTTTATTACTTCTAATCTCATTGCACTGCATGTTCTCATAGGTATTTGGTGATTATCCCTAAATGATCAACACATTATAATTATATGCTAGTATGTATTTAATAGCAAATGATTTGTGCGTATAATAGCATCTAATCTCAGTCAATTACCCTGTTCAGTGTTAAACTGCACGATTTAAGGATGGATGTAAGTGAACTGCATATCTGTGATCCATCTGTGTTCCAGCCTCCATGTTTTGCAGCTCACCACTCTCTGATGAAAAACTCTGAATAACAAAGACATGTTTGAGTGGAGCAGCAGCAGAGGCATCAGCAGCAGCAGTAACAGGACTAGGCTGGGCTGAGTACTGACGTCAAGGAGCAATAACCGGGGCCAAGCAGCATCTATCCAGACTCCCTCACACACACTGACTCAGAGTGACCTGCTGCTGTCCATGGTGACCTGCTTGTAAGCAGCAGGGGAGAAATCAGGAACACACCACCTCGCTTATTGGTGCTGGCCTTTAGAAAGTTGCAATCAAAGCTCCTGTATCAGAAGTTATCGCTGAAAGCCCCTTAACCTTCTATTACAATTCAGTCAACCTTTCCTGTTTTTCCACCCCAGCTGTCTAAAGTTGGAGGGAGGGATGTGCAGAGACAATAGGCACCATTTGTCCTGCTAAAAGGTAACAGGAATTATTGATTTCCAGCATGGATCCATGAATTAGTGAAGGTGTACATTTCCTGCTCACTGAGATTGGGAAAAAATTGGTCATTGATTTGTTGCACATGGTTTGCTATCCGGGAGCTTAAAGCCCCAATAAAAATGTATTGAGCTGTTAATTGTAATAAAACTCACTCCAGCTTTATAGATGATTGTTGCAAGGTGAACAATGAACAGAAATAATCAGCACAAAAACCTGCTGTATAATCCCAGAATCTATGGGAAATAAATTTACAATTGGGACACAAGACAAGTAAAGTAAGCTATATCTAAATAAAGGGGTGTTATTTGATTATAGCATCCCAGGCAGAACAATTATATATAAAAGCTAAATATAAGTGCTTAAATAATAATAAAGAAACCCATCCATCCATCCATCCATCCATCCATCCATCCATCCATCCATCCATCCATCCATCCATCCATCCATCCATCCATCCATCCATCCATCCA